GGGCTGAGTTACATTATTAGAACAGACTGTCATTGGTCAACGTTGGGACTATCACTTAGTAACCAGGCAGACAGTAGCCAACAGCAGAGCAGTGGAACCACAGAGGCAAATTAAAGATAGAAAAATGCCTTCAGAGGTCCATTGTTTCAGCTTTGCTGACCCCAACTCATCTGACTCCGAGCTTTCTTTTGGATTAGGGACTTCTGGACAGCCTCAGGAACAATTTAAGAGATTGAGCACTAATAACATCATTTCCTTGCTTTGCAGCTCTCCTTTGTTCCCAAACAGAACCCAAGAAGTAGCATAATACAGAGGAAAGAGCATTTATCTGGGGCTCAGGCAACTCGGTTCTAACACCTGGTTAAGCGATTCTTTAGTTGTGTGACCTTGAACAAGCTCCTTTCATTCCTGGGCCTCAATTTCTCCTTCTGTAAAATGACAGAGTGGGCTACATCCATGAGGACCTGAAAAGCTCTGACGTTCCAAGAGTCAAAATAAAGCACACACCTTTGCTCTACCATTTGTATGTGACTCTGGGCAAATCACTTACCCTCTTTGTACCTAGTTTCTCCGTCTATAATATGGGAGGCTGAACTATGTTGTCACTAAGATCCCTGCTAGTCCTGACATTCTATGCAACATTTCCTGAGGCCAGAGCAGGTACTGACTATCTCTGACAAGGAAAGTCCTCATTAGGCATTTTGGGAGCAAAAGGTTGTCTCTTGCCTCCCAGTGCATGTGCTCGTGTGTCTGGCATAACTCATTGGGTGGGTCCAATTTTCCAACTGTTGCATTTTCGCTCGTTTGATTTCTTGTCAGGACAAGCATGCAATCCATTCTGTGAATGTAATTAAAGAAGCAGCTAGAGATTCTAGAGATTCTAGTTCTCCCCAAAGGAGGAAATACATTTGCATTGGGAGCTAGGTCCCTAGCGAGGGATGCCTCCAGGAGCTGGTGACTGCCTGGCATGAGCATCAGCCTTGTGAGGAGGTAACCACCTGTGTGGGGTGCACTGAGTAATGGGGGGAATTGCCGCGCACAATGCTGTCTCCTCGAGTGCTTGTCATCATGGCTGTAGTGCTCCCACTTAAAATGCAGTCATTCAGTATTTGCATATTTCAGTCAGGTTTCGAAAAGGCTGGTGACCTAGAGGCTGACGGCAGCCTGCCAGCAGAGCTTACTTAGCTAGCATAATTTTATTTTATTTATTTTATTTTATTTTTTAAGATTGGCGAGCTAACATCTGCTGCCAATCTTTTTTGTTTTTTTTCTGCTTTATCTCCCCAAACCCCCCAGTACATAGTTGTATATCTTAGTTGCAGGTCCTTCTAGTTGTGGGATGTGGGACGCTGCCTCAGCATGGCCTGACGAGCAGTGCCATGTCCGCGCCCAGGATCCGAACCCTGGGCCGCCGCGGCGGAGCACGCGAACTTAAACACTCGGCCACGGAGCCGGCCCCTAGCATAATTTTAAAGAAGATTTGAATTTGACTTCTCTGCCTAAAGGCAGAGAAATGTCTCACCTGTGAGGCATAATCTTCACCAGTCCCTTTTGTATTACAGCTCACTGTTTTACAGTGCCCCAGGACACTTTAATGCCAGTGATTTATCTGGAGACAGGTCTCCGCTCCACATTTTGTAGCTCCTCCTCAGCTGGAAGTTAGGTGCTCTGGAAGTTGATCTTCTTGCAGCCTAGGAAGAGGGTGCTAGGTGGGAGCTTAAAGGTTTAAAGAAATCTGACATGTTCCAATGCCTTCCTGAATTGGAAAAAGAATTTTATATCCTGGAATAACCTGCTTACCTTGCCTCGGCCCATCCAGAGAGTTTTAATCTCTACCCCTTGAGCCTAAAGGTGGAGTTCCCCAGTGTGGGTGACTGCCGGCTCTGGCACAGAGGCTCAAGCAGCTTCTCCCAAGCCCAGTCAGGACCAGGACCGGGGAAGAGAACAACTGACAGTGGCCCCTGGCCACAGAAGCATTTCCCAGGACTGAGCGTTGGCTCAAGGGAGGGGAAGATGAAAAAACATTGAAAAACTGTTCCGTGTTCTGTATCATTTGAACTTCTAGTTCATTTCTCAGAGCTTTGAAAGAAGCCTCTGGAAATGCCTTTCGGACATAAAGGTCAAATTTTCCTTGAAGTGAGGAGGTCATGTGTACAAGGTTTCCTTTCAGTTTACCGATCACTTTGCTGAACTTGGATTTCCAGCTCTCTGCCTCAAAGTTCCCTCCAAGGCAGCCTGGGAAGGCTTGACGGGAGATAAACAGCATGCCATTCAGGCTTGTCCTGCTTCCCAAGTAAACCTGTAGGTCACCTCCTGCCCTAGACAGGAAGGTTCACAGGGAACTGGCACAGGAAACTGAGGCAGGGGCTAGTTGTACAGAAGTTGTTGATGGCAGAAATGGTCTGAGAGCAAAACAAAATCCTCTTAACATCAAAACCTCAACCTTCATGACTCTCTATGCATCCTCTGCCCAGCCTGTTGGCAATTTCTAGTCTTTTTCCTGGATAATGCTGATGAAACAGTACCATCCCCCAGCAGAGCAGGCCTATAGAAACCCCTGGACGTCTAGAAAATTTGTCCCCAGTAATTGGCATCCACCTCTACCTTCTAGCCCTGCCACCCTCTCTCTAAATTTCCATCTCTAGTCCCTTCACTCTTCAGGAAAAAGTTCGGTGATGTTTACAAAAAGCAGACAAATGCATAGTTCATTTAATAGATTCTCATTAGGCTGATTTTAATTAAAAAGGAAAGTTTGGAGTCTTAAAGAGCTTGGCTCAACTCCCCACGTAACCGTCACCTAATCCCTGAATATTATGTTCACCAAGGTTCCACCTCTGGCCACTGTTTCTTATCACCCTTTGTACCTCAAATACCATCTTTCCATGATTTTAAGAAATCATGGGTTGTAAGACACTGAGTCAATAATAGCTTTGCAAAACTTCACTGTAAGGTACATTCTTATTTTGGAAATACTAAAAAGAGAAGAATGTTGCCTTAATGTCAAGGAAACATGGTATCACCTTTCTGCTGATACTCCTGATCTTTTACCTGTACTTCTGACCCTTCTCCTGAAGTATATCTCTAACTGTCCACTGGAAGGCTTTATTTACCAATTATTTACTGAGGACTTATGTCCCAGACACTGTTCAAATTACTGGGAATGCAACAAGAAATGAGACGCATAAAGTCAGTATTCTTATGGAATTTGCATTCTAATGGTAAAAACAGGTAATAAATAAGAACATGAATCAACTAATAATAGTAATCATAATAATTGGAATGCAGAGAATGAACCCTGCTACTATAGTGGAGAGTGACAGGAAGAGCAGGATGTTGTAACTAGGGTGGTTAGCAAAGACCTTTCTGGTGAGGAAACATTTGAGTAGAGATCTGAATTATCAAAAACAAACAAACAAACAAACAAACAAAAGCAGCTATTGGGTGATCTGGGAAAGAGTCCTGGCAGAGCGAATAACAAATGTAAAGGTCCTGAGGTGGGAACATGCCTTGGCATGTTTGAGGAACAAAAAGAAAAGTCCATCTGACTGAAGGGCAGTGAACAATGGTGGTTGTAGGAAAAGAGGTAGGAGAATTAAGCACTAACCAGGATAGAGCCTTGTAGGCCAGGGTAAGAAGCTTGAATTTTATTCTAAGCAATTTTTGTATAAGCATTATTAATAATAGCCAAAAGGTGGGAACAACTAAAATGTCCAACAACTGAGGAGTGGTTAAACAAATGTGGTATATCCATACAATGGAATATTACACAACTATAAAAAGGAATAAATTACTGATAGGTGCTACAACATGGGTAAAACATTAAAACATTATGCTAAGGGAAAGAAACCAGACACAAAAGGCCACATATTATATGATTCCATTCATATGAAATGTCCAGTATAGGGAAATTTATGGAGACTGCAAGTAGATTAAGTGGTTGTTTAGGGGTAGGGGTTTGGGGGAATATGGGGAGCTAGATAAAGTGTGGGGGGTTTCTTTTCGAGGTGATGAAAGTGTTCTAAAATGGACCGTGGTGAAGGTTGCAAAATTCTGTGAATATACTAAAAACCATTGAATTGTACACTTTAAGTGGATGAATTGTATGGCTTGTGAATTATATTTCAATAAAACTATTAAAGAGTTGGGCTTGGGACGTGTTAGGCTTGAGGGGCAAGTAAAGATCTTGAGTAGGTCATTGTATACTTGAGTCTAAGAATTAGAGGAGAGGTCCACGCTGGAGGAATAAATATGGGAGTTCTTTGGCTCTTTATCTCTCTGTCTTCTCCTCCTCATTCCTAGTGAAAAGGGGCTTTCAGTGTAATGCTGCATCAAAGACTTGCTATTAAGGACTTAATATTGGCAAGAAGAAATGTCTTAAGACTAATCCATGCTGAAGGCTCTGAAAGATACCAAGGAGGACTGTAAAGAACCATTGAATGAAAAGATTCACCTTAACTACAAGAGTGATAACCCCCCAGCACAGACCTGTATTAATTATTTCTTAGGATTCTTTTCATAAGTTCCATTACAGGCTTGCTAGAGATACCTCTTTGTTTTCCTTTTAGAGGTTGCTTTCATGTTTACCACATGCATCTTTAACTTATTAGATTCTCCTTTCCAGTAATGCTATATCAATTCACCTATAATGTAAGAGCCGTAGAACAATATACTTCCATTTCCTCTCTCACCCTGTGTACTATTGTTGACAGAGATTTTAATCTACATATTTACACAACCTGCAATATATTGTTATCATTTTCTCTTTAGAATTAATTATCTTTTAAATAAATTAAAAATGAAAAATAATTTAAAAAATATTTGCCCACATATTTACCATTCTTGAGCTCTTCATTCTTTCGTTTTGATCCAAATTTATCTGGTATAACTTTCCTTTAGACTGAAGAACTTTCTTTAACATTTCTTGTATTACAGATCGATTGGCCTTAAAATCTGTTAACTTTTGTTAGGAGATAGTGTTAATTTTGCCTTTATTCTTGAAGGATATATTTGGAACTTTGAAGACAAGTTTTCTTCGGATCTGTATTGGTTTTGCCCGGAAGTCTACAGTCACTCTTATCTTTGTTCTCCAGTATGGTATGTGTCTTTTTCTTCTCTGGCTACTTTTGACATTTTCTGTTTATTATGGCTTTTCAGAAATTTTTTTATGATTTGTCTTTGTGTTGTTTTCTTAGTGTTTATCCCAGTTGGGTTCATTGGGATTCTCTGACCTATGGGTTTATAATTTTCATCAAATTTGGAAAAAAATTGGCCACTATTCCTTCAAATATATTTTCCAACTTTCAGTCCATGTGACAATATTCCTGTAAATAACACTTCTCAGAGGGGATGATTATTGGGAATTTTGATGATGACAACAGGCATTGGAAGGTTCAGTGGCAGGTGGTGTTAACAGCAGCAAAAAGAGAAAAAACAGTCCATGTGAAACAGACAGTAAAGAAACACTGCATGGCAGTGGAGTGGACTCCCTAGAACAATGGATAGGCTCCTTCTCAACCTTGGCATTATTAACATTTTAGGCCAAATCCCATCTTTGTTATGGGGAGCTGTCTGTGCATTGTAGGGTGTTTAGCACGTACCTGGCCTCTACCCAGTAGATGCCAGTAGCACTCCTCTAGTTGTGACAACCAAAAATGTATCCACACATGACCGCATATCCCCGGGATGCAAAATCCTGAATTGAGTTCCAGTGCTCTAGAGAATGAGACAACAGTGAGGGTGTAACCTCACCGCATCAGGTTGACCTACAGGTTCATTGGAGCACCTACTTTTGCACCTTTCCCCTAGATGTGTTAGGAGTGATTGAGAAAACAACTGAGTACCATGAAAGTCAATAGCCAGGCGCAAAATGGAGGAGAAAGTAGAGAGTAAGGTAGTCTAGGCTTCTCCTCTCCCTGCAGGCCAGTAGAGGAGATTTCTATTGTATATTCAAAAGAATACAGGCTTTAGATTCAGAAAGACCCGTTTCTAATAGTAACCCTACCACTTTTTAGTTGTTTAGTCCTGACTAAGTGACATCACCTCTCTCAATCTCTGTTTCCTCATCTGCATCTACATAAATTTGATTTTTATTTTGATATTTATAATCACAACTTCCTTCTAAGGAGGGCAGGTATTTTAAAATGGAGTGCTCTTTGATTTGATGAGGACCTTGATGGAGCTGGCTAAGCAAGTGTAGGGGTTGGAGTCAATGAGAATTGAAATAAATTGCATGAGAAGAATTTGAAGTCCCCAAAGGCTCTCTGGAGGAGAGGGAAGAAGACACTGAGAAGAAAGGGGGAGAAAGGAACCAGTAAGATGTAGTGCACAATGTAGCCCCAGCCCGATGATTGCCAGGGCTGCAATAAACTTACTATATTCACAAATATTTTGTATAAGAGGCCTGGAGAGTGAATGTGCATGTGTGCACGGAAGCTGAACAAAAAGCTGAATTTCATCTGAGGATTGCAGCTAGGAGGACAGAGGCCATGTGAGAGGAAGCAGTAGCCCAGGAGACAGAGGAAGCCTCAGGGGTCACAGAAAATGTGGGTTGAAATTTCAACTTCCATAGGTAATAGATTTTGAGGTTTGGAGTCAATTTTACCCTGAGTCAAAAATAATGGAGGCCCCAAGTGACATTTAGAATACATGCTAAAATGGGGGTAAAAATACCTCACAAGATTGTAAGAGAATGAGAGATAATGTAAGTAAACAGAGCACCTGAAACCAGGCCTGGCATATATGCTGAATTTCATAAGTGGCAACTATTATTAAGGTGAATGTTACTAAAATTTAGTTGGTAGAGGTTTAATTAGATACAGCATTTTGTCACTGTTTTCTTTTGGTAGTGCTATTTGACCCCATCTATTACATTAAGAATTCTCCTTCCTTTAATCCGTCCTTCCACCTGCCATATCTACAGAGGGTTATCAGTCCTGGACATTTCAGCACTAAAAGAGTAACCTAGGGGACTCAGGATTTTCCATCTCCTAATTCTGTTCCCCTTGCTTACCACAGTGGCCTTTCTTTGATGAGCACCTTCCTGCTGTACCTCTAAGAGATTGTCACAGTGTCTTTGCCCCTTCCCCAAGCCCCCAGCCATCTGGAAGTGTCATTGTTTAATCTTTGTATTCTACCATCAGTTGAAGTCAGAAACCTTTGATCTGTCCTGTTCACTAGATCTTATATCATGACACATAAAACTCCTGACAACTACATTTCTTTTTAAAGATTGGCACCTGAGCTAACATCTGTTGCCAATCTTGTTTATCTTCTTTCTTCTTCTTCTCCCCAAAGCCCCACAGTACATAGTTGTATATTCTAGTTGTGAGTGCCTCCGGTTCTGCTATGTGGGGTGCCACCTCAGCATGGCTTCATGGGTGGAGCCATGTCTGTTCCCAGGATCCGAACTGGTGAAGCCCTGGGCCACTGAAACGGAGCATGCAAACTTAACCACTCAGCCTCAGAGCCGGCCCCAAGTACATTTTTATCAAATTTGTTTCCCTGGGTTTTAGTCATCACACTAAAATCCAATCCCAATATATCACTAATTTAAAGAAATCTATTATCAGTGTGTTTTTACAGTTACTATAGCAGTAAAATTTGCACTCAACAGCATTACTACAATTTTCCCTTACTTAGAGGGTATATTTGGTTCATGTTTTAAAGCAAAGGAAGGAAAGAAGTAAATAAAATTGTTACCATCAACACTGCTGCAATTTTTTCTATCCTTAAAACTCATCACCAGTGATACATATACCAACGGATTACCTGTAAACACATAAAAGCCCTTCTTGGAAAAGGCAGCCTTTCTGTTTTCAACATGGTGAAAACCAGGTCCTTTGATAGGATGATTGATGATGAAGAAGACTGAAAGGGTGAGAAGGCCTGCCTGTGTGCACTCTACACCAGCACCTGTGGACACATGAGCAGGAACAGTAGCCGGACTCCTCTTAGCTTCCCAAGATCAAGTGACCCAGACTACAATTTGCTGTTGATGGATGGAGCATCCCTGGGCTCAGACAGGAGCAAGTGGTCGATGGAATCTTGCCCACTCTTAATTCATCTTTCATTTTACCAAATGATCCTTTGGTCTGAATGTTTAGTGGAATAGTGGGTTGGCCCAACAGTTTTTATGTCTGCTACAGTTACTTGCTAGCCTCAGTTCCTGAGACTCCTGAGCAGCTGCGTGCCTAAACCTCATCTAGTTCTCTTTCCTATATACCTGCAGAGGAGGAGGGGTCACCTGTATGGAGATGGCTAGTTTTGGGAGTTAGTTTCTGGGGAATTCAAGCTAGAATTGGGGTATTCTATCGGAAGAGACACAGGGAGCATCAGACAAGAAAATCAAGTCAACACTAATGGAAAAGTTCAGAAAGCCAGTGGCAGCATGAGGGTTGAGGTTTAGCATCAGTGTAGACAGGATCAGAGTGACAGCCAGTGGAAAACAAGTCAGTGAGTCCTGTTGAGTCTTTGCTCATAGCCTTGCAGGTAGGTTAATGCATGGTGTGTGGGTAGAGTGGATTGGCTATGGTGTCCAAGCATCTAAAAGCCTTATTACTTTTCTTCTGTATATCTACTGCCTAGCAAGTGTCCACTCAGCAGACTTCAAAATAGAGTCCCTTCAGCAAAGGAAAAAACAGAGGCTCATTTTAAATGGAGTCCCTTTTACTGTTTTCTTCCAAGAGTAAAACCCATTAATCAATACCTTGGTTCTCAACTTCTCCATTTCTCTCCCCATCCCCAAATTTGTTTCAGTTTCAACGTCCTAAAACAATAACTTTTTTGGGGAATAGTGCTTTATTTTGAAAGGCTCTATTACATTTAAACTCTTAAAGGCTTATAAAATATTTCTCTCTACTTCATATTCTTCTCAGAGCCAAAGTGGATCAAAACGAACCAAGCAGTCATAAAGCCAGGAAGAATGAAAACTCTGTTTCCCTTCTATCCTGTTGGAGGCCCCTGAAAAATGGATTTGGGAAGGCTTGTCACAGGCTTCCACAGAGTTGACTCCAGATAATGTTTTCTTTAACCTCACTCAAAAATACTGAAACCCAAAGGGGGAAATGATTTAGAATGTTAAAATTTTTTTCAAATGTTGTATGCCAAAAAAATAATATGTAGATGTGTGAATGATGTGACTTTGTGTATAGAGGTGAATATATAATCTGCAAATACAGACTCATATTAAGTTAATTAATATAAGTAAGACATGCTTCTCCATGGCAATCTAATTTCAGAAACAGTCAAAAGCTTTAAGACAAGCTCCATGATATTTGGCTCTGAGCCCCACAGATTTTGTATAATAAACTACAACCCTCTCCTTCATCCCAGGCTTCTCATTTTCCCTTACAATCCAGGATCTTGGCATAAACCATCACTCTGTAGTTTTGTTCTTGCTCTGCTGGTACCCACCTCTGGAGTTCTGCTTCCAAGGTTCTACACCACCATTCCCAAGGTTGGAAGACAATTACAGTCATGTGTTGCTTAAGACAGGAATACTTTCTGAGAGATGTGTCATTGGGCGATTTCTTTGTTGTGTGAACATCATAGAGTGTACTGAAGGGGAACAAAACTTAACACCCCAAAATGTGTCTCTTTAACATGAGAGTTATTTTAGGCTGATTATTTTTAAGAAACAAAAGACTCAGAAAATTTTTCTCATTACCTCCTCCTTAACTGCCTAAAAGAATTTGGATTTAAAAAACCTGTCTCAGGAAGCAAGCTATCAACTTAGCATAACATGAACTAGGTGGCAGACAGGGAGGAACCTAGAAAAGCTTGTTTGTTGGGCTCCCCTCTGTCTTCTGTTTCTGTGTGGCCAAACACATACTTGTTTTCTAAACGTTTGCTCCTTTTCACCTACCCGTGAATCGCCTTTCTTCCCTTTGAAGTCCCTGACTCTCCCAACCCCAACATCTTCTTTTGTCTTTAGCTGAGGATTTAAGGTGAGAGTGTCAGTCATTTGGTGAGTTACTCGGTTTTCCTGACTTTCTCCCATGTATGCATGTTATTAAACTTGTGTTTGTTTTTCTCCTGTTAATCTGTCTCCTGTCAATTTAATTCTTAACCCAGCCAGGAGACCTAGAATGGTAGAGGAAAATTTCGTTCTCCTCTACAGTACTTATACAAACTTAGATGGCATAGCCTACGACACACATAGGCTATATGGCACTAATCTTATTGGACCACCATTGTTTATGCAATCCATCCATCATTGACTGAAGTGTTGTTATGCAGCACATGACTGTATCGTCCCTTAATGATTTCAGACTTCTTAGTCAAATACAGATTTTCTAGCATTCAAGAGACTACAACTTTTCAGCTCCTTCTGTCCACCCGCTACCTGCAAGAGTACCTTTCGACTTTATGGTCTTCCTTGAGGAACATTGGACAAATTCATCAGGAAACATTTGTGGGGACATTTTTAGTGGCACCTCTTCATGGTGCTCTGGGAATATTCCTTTCATCTTCCTGTCCTGGAATCACAATACAGGATGTTTTGACTTTCTGACCCCATGATGAGTGGTCTGACTTCTAAGGAGATCATTCCATCCTCCTCCTAGGGGTCTTGTTGAAAAGTCTTTTTGTGAATTGCTCTCAAGTTTTTAAATCTCCTTCTCTATGTTTGCCAGGTAGCCATTGTAAATTGAAGTCCATTTGGCTGTCCCTGATAACTTCCAGTTTCAAATGTAGGTTTCAAATTAGGCCCCCACATAGACCTTACTGTAGTCTACCCCAATGAGACTTTTACAGTTCCTGTAAAGCTTTCACATTCACCCAAGATGTCCCTCTTTTAAATGATGACCTTGAGAGAATTCATTTAACCTCAATATCCACTCTGAACCCAGTTCCTTGGCATAGAATAGCTACTCGATCATTTGCTGAATGAATCAATTAATGACGAAACGATGGAAGGAATGAGTGAATCAGATTTCCAAATGCCAAACAGTACTGAACAGGCAGTAGAAATGAACCAAGACAAAGGTTCACTTTGGGATTCATCCTTCCCTATCTTTTGTTTTTGTATGTTTGTTTTTTAAAGCATGGTAGAGGTAGCCCTGATAGGACTCCTAGTTCAGAAGTACACTCTACCCTGCCTAGGTGGCAGTAGCTATTTAAAACTTGGCAGTGTATTTTGTGAATCAAAAATTTTTCCTCATCCAAATCATTAGGCACCGCATCAATCTTGAATTTGGTCCCATAATCACTCCCTGAATTCAAGACAGCCACAGAATACGATTCACATGATTTACCCCTGGTTTATAGCGCTGAGCCTAAGGGACCAAAATCCTAGATTAAAAATATGGCAAAGGATAATTATGTCAAGGTCAACTTCACTCTGTGTGATGGTACCATATCCTGAGTATGTTACCATCTTCTTCATAAAGGCCATTGAGTTCAGGCTAAAGAGAAACAAAGGGATATTTATGGTCTCAGCCTACTTTCCTGAGGGCTGGAGAGATGATCCACGTCATAGCTTCTGAAACACCAGGACTAGATTCTGATTGCTGATGCATCTAGCCAATAGATAAGCATTATCATAAAAACAATATAACAACAAGTTTGCCCCAGAATTACTTGCTCTGTATAGATGGGTAATGCCCTCCTCAATATCCATTTCCTCCTTTTTTCTTAACAGAGCTCTTTATTCAGGGTAGCCTCCCCTGCAACTTAAGGGTGGCCATGTTTCAGTGTTCTAGCTGGTTAAATGTAAATAGAAGTCTAATAGATAAGGCTACTTTCCTTCTAAGAAGATAGAGACTCAGCTATCATACACATTTTCTTTTCCTTTGCTTTCTCCCTTTTTCTTATCTGGAACATGAATGCAGTGCCTGGAGCTACAATAGATATCTTAAGCCCACAGGAAAAAAAGACAAATAGCAAGAATGGCAAAAAAGCAAGATTAGAATCAGGACTGATCTTGAGCAACTAAACCAACCCTGAGCTGCCAACCACCAAACTCCTTGTAAGAGGAAAAGGAGAAACTCATTACTTGCACCCATAAGTGATAGCTGTCTCTTTAACTCTGACACCCAACAGGCCCTGGTCAGGGCACATCTCTGCCATGCAAAGTTCTCATCTTTTCTCACCATTAAGGCCTTGTTGAGAGTTTTTATGATTGTCTCAGTTACTTTGGTGATCTGTCTTTTCGCTCTTCTTCTTCCACAGGTAGTTTTGTTTTTAACTGAAAGAGATTGAGAGGCACACATTTTTATTCTGCAGTGGAGCTTACCCCGAAGTTGAGAGGAACTCAGCTTCAACCTAATATAAAGACTCCAAATATCTACAGCAAAAGTAGAAAAATAGTGATTCAGAGCAGAAGAGACTGCCTGCAAAAATATTTTGTGTTGGCCTGCTGAGTGTTTTAAGACATTCAAATCCATTGCCAACGATTAAAAATCAGAATGTTTTTGATAATTTTTGGATTTCCAGCATCTCATTAAAAATCCAAAGAACTAACAACACTGGGCCCTCGTGGCAACAATTGACTAAAGTAGCAGCTACTCCATTCAGAAGGGAGCATGCACTCTCCAGATGACCACAGTTCCTAGCTCTCTTCCACATGGCCCACTGTCTGCTGACTGCACTTCCCACAGCAGGTAGACGGGGTTGGATAGGGTGAGGGATGTGCACATGGCTGAATCTTCAACAGTGGGTGTACATATTTGTCAAAATTCATTGAACTACATACTTAAAATGTGTGCATTTTATTGTGTTCAAGTTATACATTAAAGGAGTTGTTTTTGGAAAAGGAAGGAATGTTGAACAGGTTAGATGGTAAGCATGTATGTCAATCTAAGTAAACATGTTATGTATTAAATATTAACCATGTCTAATTTGTTGGCCTAAGAAAGGACAAAAATTAAATGTTGCATCAAAAGTCGTGTAAGTTGTTATCGTTGTTGGCAAAAATGAGAGGAAGATTGCTCAGAGTTAAAATGTACTAACATCCATGTTTTGTTTGGGAGGGGGGATAAGGTATTATTTTTAACTGTAGACTGTGTTATGAAACAAAATTTTAATAATAACCATTTAAAGAATATCATTTGATGTATAGATCCCAAATGGTTACAGGAAAAGATAATGGAATATGAAAAAGAGCAAAATACAAAAATTGTGCTATAACTTAATCAGTTGAGAGAGAAAGAATTAGAGGGAAGTATGGAAAAAGAAGTTTGAAGAGAAATAAAACACTAAGATGATAGAGACAAGTCGAAATGTATCAGCAATCTCAATAAGTAAACACTTCCAGTAAGGGCTGAAATAATGTTTTCAAAAGCTATGCCAGGAAAAAACAGGTGTACCAGACAAAACAGTAGATGAAAAAAGCTAGGATAGCAATATTACTAAAAAATTAAAAAGACTAATAGGTAGAGAAGGTCACCACAGAATAAAAGGCTAAATTCACTAGAAATATATATCAATTTTGAACTTGTTTGCATATGTAGGTAGCCTTGAAAAGACAGTGATGGAGGAATAGAAACAAAAAAGACATGCAGAAGACCAATAGCAAAATGGCAGTCATAAGTCCTAGCTTATCAGTAATTACATTAAATGTAAATGGACTAAACACTCCAAAGAAAAGGTACAAATTAGTAGAACGGATTTTTTTTTTAAAAAAACATGATCAAATTATATGCTGTCTACGAAAAACATGCTTTAAATTCAAAGACACAAATAGATCAAAAGTATAAGGATAGATCAATGACCCAAATGTAACAGTTAAAATTATAAAGCTCTTCAATGAAAACATAGGAATAAATGTTTGTGATCTTGGGTTATGCAATAGTTTCTTAGCGATGACACCAAAAGCACAATGTCGAAAGAAAGAAATAGTTAAATTGGACTTCATCAAAATTAAAAATGTGTTTCTTCTTCAAATGATACTATCAATATAGTGAAAGTTAACACACCAAATGAGAGAAAATATTTCCAAATTATATATGTGGTAAGACTTGTATTCAGAATATATAAACAATTCTTACAACTCAGCATTAAAAGCAAATAAATCAGTGCTAAACTTTTAGATTCTTCTTCCTCATGTGGGGAACTTGAAAGTCACCACTCCATGGCAACAACAGGTAAAGGCCCAACAGACCAAAAAATCAACAACTCTTCTTGGATCTGTAAGAGAGGTGAGGACACGGGGCAAAACCCTGCCTCCAAAATTGGAGAGACGAACAGGCAAATACAGGGAGTCGGTGGCTTACTAGAGCAGAGATTCATGACCAGAAACCACCGTGAGAACTAGTGCCAGGGTAGGAAAACCTGAACTGTAATTGACAAAGTGCTGGAGGCTCAGTACGGACAAGTCTGAGAGTTAAAAATCTCCAGGGGGGACCTAGTCATAGAAGGGACCTCCTCCCTTTGTGAGTTTTACATTTGGGAGCTCAACCAGGTTCTCGAAGTAAGTATTGGAGAAAAACTCCCCCGTGCTTCTGGCAGGGGGAAAGGAAAAGGAACCATTTCAATATATGCCATTCAGTTTTTCTTAACAAGGCCTGCCCTCAGGAAAAACTAGTTAACAAAAGCCTAACCTGCTGGGGTATTTTCACAGCCTAATTGATGTGGAGGAAGGCACATATCCAACTACTGCCCCCTCCAGCCAAC